GAGGAGGAGGAGGAGGAGGGGGAGGAGGAGGACGAGGAAGAGGAGGCGCGGCAGGAACTGAGAGGAGATCAGAGGAGAGGAGAGGAGCTGAGAGGAGAGGAGAGGAGAGGAAGAGCACGCTGGGCGCTGTCCCTTCAAAACGAGGGCCCAATACCACATGATGGCTTGGACAAAATCTCAAACGTGGTAAATCTCAGTTGTGACAAGAAGCCCACTTGTGAAAGGCAACTGGTAACACACGCTGTGATAACACAACACAAATGTGGCATCAACTCAAGCGTGGTAACGCACATTAGATGTGATAACGCAGGTGGTAGCAGCTGTGGTGAAGAACCCGATTCTTATAAGCACACTCATGGGGCGATACACCATTCAAGTGTGATAAGACACTGTGACACATACAACACTGTGATACTTAGCCTGGCGAAGCAACCAACCACATGCAGTTGAGAGTACCGCAGTTGTGGGTATCGTCTTCTGTGGGGCCCCCTCTGGGGCCACGCAACGCTGTACTGGGCGGGGGAACCGCATGCGAGTTCCGCCACTGTGACCTTCGATGGAGCTCTCTCTGGGGCCACGAGACGCTGTACTGGGCAGGGGGACCGCATGCGAGTTCCGCCACTGAGACCTTCGGTGGAGCTCCCTCTGGGGTCACGAAACGCTGTGCTGCGCGGGGGAACCGCATGCAGACTGCCCCACTGGGACCTTTTGGTGGAGCTCCCTCTGGGGCCACGACATGCTGCACTGGGCGCAGGAACCGCATGCGGACTGCGCCACTGGGACCTTTGGTGGAGCTTCCCGTGGGGCCACGAGACGTTGCACTGGGCGCATTAACCGCACGCGGACTGCGCCACTGGGACCGTCGGTGGAGCTCCCTCTGGGGCCACGAAACGTTGCACTGGGATCAGGAGCCGCATGCGGACTGCGCCACTGGGACCGTCGGTGGAGCTCCCTCTGGGGCCGCGAAACGCTGCAGTGGGCGCAGGAACCGCATGCGGACTGCGCCACTGGAACCTTCGGTGGAGCTCCCTCTGGGGCCACGAAATGGTGTACTGGGCGGGGGAGACGCGTGCGAACTGCGGAGGAGGGAGGAGGGAGGGGGCAGCGGGTGGAGGGACGCGGGGCGCTGTCTCTTCAAAACAAGGACCCAACACCACAGGATGGTTGGGAAAACTTGAGTTTGTCTCGAGTGTGTCAATTGATAACTTGAGTTCTCACACCTGTCTCCAGTTTTGGCTGACATTTGAGCTTTTCCTTTTTACAGTTTATCACACTTGGACCGTGCATGCACCTGATTCGCTCACCCCCCTTTTGCGACCCCCCTTTTTTCCGCCCCGGCCCTAGCGAGGGTGGTGGTGGTGGTGGTGGTGGTGGTGGTGAGTGCTTATCGCGCAGATTGTTCGCGTTTCATTCGGTTCAGCGTCGCAGTCGGTTGCTTCGGCCGGTTCTGTTCGGTCGGCTGCTGTGTCGCTGGTTCGTCGCTGTCCGCTGCGCCCTTTTCACAGCCAAGATGCCGAAGTAAGAACCACTTTGGGCTCCAGAGGGGCTGCGGTTTCCGGGCCGCTCCTCAGCTCCAGGCCAGAGCACCTGTTCGTGGCGCCGGGCGTCGCTGTGGCCAGAGACGCCCCCTGCTTCCTTATACATTGTATTCCCAGAGATCCGACGTCGTGATTTCTTCAATGCGGAGCGCCCCGGAAGTCTCGACCCACTCCCGAGGACCGGTTTTCCATCCCGAGTCGTTTTTTGACGGTCCCGGGGCCTGGCCAGGCCCCCCAGAGGCCGAAAGCTGCGAAAACGTCCGTCTCGATTTTTTTCCATGCGCTGGATCTCTGGGTTCTGCGCTCCTCATGGCAGTGCGATGACTGTGGGCTGCTTGCAGCCTGTCGGCTTCGGTCTGTCTCGGCATCGCTGTCGGATTCGGTCGGCTTCCGGTGGCATGCGCGGTCGCCGGGCACGGCTGCGCCACGAGGCCCGCAGCCTGCGGCATCGGGGCCCGCGGCGGCGCCGTCCGTCTCTCCGGCGGCCGTCTCGCGCGCGGCCCCCGCCGTCCGCGTGCGGTCGCTGCCCTTCGAGGCAGCGCCCGCGTGGGCTGCGGCGCGTGGCTTGGCGACGGGCGCCGCTTCCGTGCAGAATCGGGGCGCTTCGTCGCGAGACGAGGCGGCACTGGCCTCCCGTTGCGGGGGGGACCTCCGGATCCGGCGCCTACGCACCAGATCCAGGGATCCCTACGCAGTCCATGTCAGCGCGCGCCCGCGCCCAGCTCCGGGCAGGGTAAAGAGCAGGAGTTCGGCAGCGGCTGGAGCAGGTGCCACCACATCTGCACAGTGCACACGCAAACACGTCAGCTCGGATGCAACTCCTGGGAGGTCAAATTCTGATTTCGCCCTGGTCCAAAGTCCGGCTTACTCTGGCTTAGTCCCGCTTGATCCCGTTTAATCCCGCTTAATCCGGCTGAATCCCGCCTAATCCGGCTTAGTCCCGCTTAATGCGAGGCCCAATCTGGCGTAACAGCGCCCCATTGAGGTTTAATCCTCTTTAATCCTTCCGACGAAGACCTCCCAGTAGTTGCCTCCTAACGTCAGGGTCCAAGGTCCTCGGGGGGGGCGGCACAGTCTGCCGCCAGCGCTCTGCCGCGCTCGTAGCCCCGAGAGCGGGGTCGACCCTCGCCCCGCCCCGCCCGCCCCCGCCAGACGAAGCGGACAGAGAGATCCTGGTCAGGAGGGGAAAAAACACACAGACACAGTCAATCGTCGAGTGTTAGGAAAATGCGGAAGGTATGAAAAGTGTGTGTGTGCGTGTGTGTGTGTGTGTGTGGGGGGGGAGACGAGAACCCAGAACATCTGGGAAAGTCTGGGGCATCCCGGGATTTGTGTCTATTTCTTCGTGTGTCCCAGGGCCCCTTCAATGCTGGGGCGAGCGGGGTCCACGGCACCGGTGGGCCGTCCAGGCCGATGTCCTCCTCAGCGAGTGGTCTCGCGCTCTCTCGGACAGCACGGTGGCCGGAGAGTCAACAAGACCTGTCTTGCTGGTGTGGCGGCCCGGCAGCCTCCAAGCCAACTGCCGCGCGCTCACGCCCAGCCGATCGGTGGCCTGCGCGATTTTGACGCGAGAGCCGATTGGCCGCCATGGGCCTCCAGCCGCACAGCCCGAGCCGCAGGAGGTGCAGGAGGCAAGCGTTAAGTCGGGCCTGTTCCTCTACAGGAGGAGTATTCAGAAATAGTCAGAAGATAGTCTGGGAAAGATCTAGGATTTGTTTTGATTATTCTGGCGTATTTTTTGACTATTGCAATTTTTCGTCCAAATTCCCCCTGTAGGGGGATATGCCCGACCTGAGGCAAGCGTCCCTTGGACCTGACCCCGAATATCCGAAGCCTCCGCCTCCAGAACGACGGTCATAGCTCACGAAGCTTCCCGACGCGCTGCCCGACGCCCTCCCCCATCATCGCCATCACCACCATCATCAACAGCATCATCATCATCATCACCACCATCATCTCATCATCATCATCATCATCATCATCATCATCATCCTCATCATCCTCATCCTCACTGTCAATTCTCATTATCATCAGTCACATCATCACCATCATCTTCATCGTCATCATCATCATCACGTCATCATCATCGTCGTCGTCACAAGCATCATCAGCATCGTCATCACCATCATCATCATCATCATCATCATCATCATCATCTTCATCGTCATCACCATCACCATCACCATCATCATCGTCATCCTCATAATCATCAGTCTCATCACCATCAACAACATCGTCATCGTCATCAGCATAATCATCATCACCACCATCACCACCACCATCATCATCGTCACCATTATCATCATCAATATCATCACCATCATTATAGCCATCGCCATCATCGTTATCATCATCACCATCATTATCATCGTCATCGTCATCATCAGCATCAACATCATCACCATCATCGTCATCGTCATCAGCATCGTCAGCGTCATCCTCATCACCACCATCATCATCATTACCATCATCGTCACCATCACCACCATCGTCACCATCGTCATCCTCATCACCATTATCCTCATCATCATCATCATCATCATCATCATCATCATCACGATCACCATCGTCAACATCGCTTTCATCATCATCGTCATCACCATCACCGTTATCATCATCATCATCATCATCATCGTCATCATCGTCATCATCAGCATCATGATTCTAACCATCGTCATCACCACCATCATCACCATCACCACCATCACCATCACCATCACCATCACCATCATCATCACTATCATCATCATCATCATCATCATCATCATCATCATCATCATCATCAACATCATCATCATCATCATCATCACCATCGTCATCATCATCATCATCATCATCACCATCACCACCATCGTCACCATGATCATCACCACCATCATCAGCACCATAATCACCATCGTCATCTGCGGCATCGTCATCACCATCATCATCATCGTCATCACCACCATCATCATTATCATCATCATCACCATCCCCATCGTCATCAGCACCACCATCATCATTGCCACCATCACCACCACCACCATCATCACCATCACCATCACCATCACCATCACCATCACCATCATCATCATCATCACCATCATCACCATCACCATCACCATCACCATCACCATCACCATCATCACCATCATCATCATCATCATCATCATCATCACCATCATCACCATCATCACCATCATCACCATCACCATCACCATCACCATCCTCCTCCTCCTCCTCCTCATCATCATCAGCTTCCGTCGCCGCCTTGGCTGGAAGACGTCCTCTCTCGCCTGCGGGCGGCGCGCCTCGCAGCCCCAGGGAGCCGTCTCCAGGGTGGCCCATGCCGGTGGCCTTGCCGCGGGGGATCCTTCGGCGCGCGGTGGCCGGCCCGCGACCCGCGGCGTCCTCGCGCGCGCTGGCCAGCGCCTCTGCAGGCGGCCCCGGCCCTCGCGGCGCGCGGCAGGCGCGGCGCGGCCGCCTGCAGGGCGGCGGGCCGGGCCTCTGGCGGGCGCCCTGCTCGCCGGCGTGGCCCGCGGGCGCTGGGCCGTCCAGGATCGGACACGGGCCGACCAGTGCCCTGTCAGCATATGGGCCTGGGGCGACCGGGGCCCTGTCGCAGAGCCCAGGCGGCCGATGAGTGGGTCCCATCAGCGGAGGGCGGGAGCTCCCAAGCCGAGGAGCAGCTCCCAAACCGAGGAGTAGCTCCCATAAACTGAGGAGCTCCCCAACCGAGGGGAGCCGGCCCCCACGTGGCTCACCAAGCCCGGCCAGGCAGAACGGAGTGGCTGGCCCCCTTTGCGTGGGTCCCGACAGGAGGTGCGGCGGAGCGCCAGCTCCCGCGGAGACCTCCCTGGTCAGGGCGGCGCTGGACTCGTCAGCCGGGCGCCTGGTGGGCGTGGGCCGCGGGGGAACAAACTAGGATTCCCAACGATCTGAGTTTTCAATGCGGGCGTTTATTTCTATGTTTCGGCCTCAGGGGTCCGCCATTGGTCCCCTTAGTGAGCAAGCATAATTCCATAACGCAACACTACCCCCGAGGAAGGAGTCCAGACTTCTGGGGCCGCTGATTGAACAAGTCACATCGGCGGACACCAGGGATCTTTTGCCGATGCCGCTGCTCCGCAGACCTCCATCCGCATGCGTCCTAGCCAGGACTCCGAGGCTGACGTGGCCGCGCCGACGAGGGCCACCCCAGGAAGCTCAAGGATGGCGATAGCGAGGGAGGGGCGCCGGCGTCGGCGTCGGCGTTCGCTTTCCCTCCGAGGCCAGCTGGCTGCGCGGCTGCCGGGCGCCTTCCTCCCCATGCCCAAGCTCGGCGGTTCCAAGATGGGGCCCTGAGGGGTGGGGCCCTGAGGACAGGAAGGGGCCCAAGGTTGGATTGACGTTGTCTGAGGCACATCGTTCTCAGGGCCCCATCCCTTAGGCCGGGGGTTGCTAATGGTGCCCCTGGCCCAAGGTGCCCCCGGCTTTTCGCTCCATTTTGCAGCCCCTGGGGCCCTCTGGGCCCCGTGAGGGGTTCTGTTGGCCGTGGGGGCCTCCCTGAAAATCTTGGGGGCACCTGGCTCAGGGGGCCCTTCTGGCAGCGCCCGACTCAGGACCCCGTCCTTGGAACCGCCGTCCAGCCTTTCGGCTTCCACGTGCAGCGGGGCGCCGCCGGCGAGGTGCCGAAGGGGCTGCAGGGCTGCACCTTCGACGCGCGGAGCGACGGCGTGCTGCCGGGGAGCAGCACCGCCGCCCACTGCGCCTACGCGGTGCAGTACGAGTTCCTGTCGTGTGCGGTAGGCTCACGTCGTGTCGACCGGCGGCGACTCCGTCGCTTGCGGTCAAATTTTGAGCGCTGCGGGCGACGCAGGGTCGGTCGATGTGGAACGATCTGAGGTCTCAGAAACGGCCGATCATTCGAGGTCGAACGATCTCTGCGGTGTCGGAAGCCAGCGCCGAAGTCGGCACGACACGAACCTGCCGTGGCTGCCCTGATGCGCTCGTTTTTCGAAGCGCAGCGCGTGCTGTGTTGAAAACGTCCGTGCCAACACGCTGCGTGTTGGCCCGGCACGTGTTGGCCCACGTTTTGGTGAGCGCTTGGCGCCAGACCTGCGTGTTCAACAAGGGCTCCCTCGAGGGCGCGAAGTTATTCGCGCTTCGCGCTTCGCGGTCCTCGATCCTCCTCCCCCTCCTCCTCGTCCTCCTTTTCTCCCTTTGGGGGGGCGGCGCGAGAGCGCGAAGTTATTCGCGCTTCGCGCTTCGCGGAGCGCGAAGCGCGAAGTTGGGAGCCCTAGGTGTTCAATCTCCGTGTTGAGTTCCGTGTCACCGCGCTGCTGGCGGAGTGCTGCGCATCGGGGCGGCGCAGGTTTCCCTGGTTCCCGCTCCTCGCGGGCCTGTCCACGTCGCCAGAGGTCAAGAGTTCCATGGCAGAGGTCTGCGGCCACTCACGTCAGGGGAGAGACGACTGAGACGACGGTAGGTGGCATTCGGTGGGCCCCCTCGTCGCCACGGCTGGGCGCAGCTCGGGGAACTGGCGCGTTTGGACCCCGGGAGGGGTCTGGGAACCGATTAAGGTTACGAATCCTACCCCTGTCGGACCAAGTGGCGCTGGGGTATTGCGCACCCCTGTTGGGAACATCTCTGCTGCGTACGTTCTCCGGACCCTGGCCCCCCTCGGGTGTTCCGGAGGTCTAGCTTTAGGTCGCGCATGTCCTCCTACAGGCGGACCTTGGAAGAAGAATCAGCACGAGTAGAACAACACGCAACGCTAGTGAAACATGAGTCGAGACATCGTCCGCAGACTATTTCTTCGCGATTCTGGAGCTTCCCTCCTGCAGAGGGACACGCCCGACTTGAAAGCCCAGCCTGCTGGGGGTGGGGCCCGCGCGTGCGTGCCCGAGAGGCCATCGCTCCTCTGGTGCGGGGCGGCGTGCAGATGGCGCGGCGCTGGTGGCTCGCGTACGAGCTGTTCCACGAGGCTCTGCCGCTCGAGGGGCTGGAGGAGGTCCGGGGCGTGGCCGCGATCCCGTTCCTGCCGCCGGAGAGGTTCTTCTGCGTCTCCGGCGATCAGGGGCAGCGACCAGGGGGGGGGGGAGAGTCCGAGGAGGTAGAGGCGCCCCTAATCTCTGCTGTCCTTCCCTCGTTCTCGCCTTTTTCTGGGCCTGCTGGGAGGCCCTCGTCGCCACCGCTGGATTCGCCTCGAAATCCTGGTCAGAACGCACCCCCGGAGAGGTCTGGGGAGTAGCGGTATCGGTGCATGTTTGTCTCCCCAGATAGGCTCAGGGATGCATCGACCCCCAATCGCCCATCGATCACCGATAGGGGTCTGGCAGCCCCACCCCGCCTGGGAGCGTGCGGATTCGCTGTCGGGGGCCCATCGCCGATCAATCGGCGAAGTATCGCCGATTCCAGGTCGATGTTCCCCCCCTCTGCTAAGATGGGGCACCACGTGCTTGCTTTTGTTGTCTTGTGTCTGCCGCGGATTTCTAGCACTGCTGGCTGCCTTACAAAAAAGCATGGATCACCTCACACGTGTCTTTTCAGGACCAGCGCCTGCCAGCAGGGAAACAAACGTGTGCTGCTCCGTCCCCCCCCCCTGTCGTTTCCCCCCCCCCAGGCGAGCTCTCCGCGCGCCACGGCGTCGTGGACAACCTCCTCGGGGGCAGGGACTTCTGCCCCTTCGTGGAGAAATTCGCGGGGGCCGCCGATGCCTCGAGGGAGTTCCACGCCGAGCTGCTGGAGGTCCTCTCGCCCATACCCGAAGACCAGACAGCGGCATACCGCCGGGCTCGCGTCGCGCTGAGGCGCGGCGGCGGCGTCAGCTCGGGCCCAGCATCGGCCGACAGATCGACAGCTCGGCGCTGCTGGAGAGCTGCGATCGTGCAAGGCCGAGCGAGCCATGCGGTAATAGTCCGAGGCGGGAATTTATACATGACCACCGCCTGGAGGGTCAGTTTTCGGAGCCTCGGCAGGCGGTGGATATGGACATATTCGGGCCCTCGGGGGCTGAAATATACCCATGTCCACCGCCCGCTGGGGCACCAGGACGTCGGTTCCCACGCGGTGGATCTGGATAAATCCCCGCCTCGCAACCAGAGTCGTGGGCTCAGGAGGGGCTGTGTCTCTCGGGAGGACGGGCAGCGATTCGTGGCCGAGGCTCGCCAGGGTCAGAAAAGTCACTTCGTTCCTGATTCAGTGCTCCTTACAGGTATCACGAGGACCGTAAGCATTGACTTTCGGGTGGCCTCGCGGATCTCTGGGACCAGCGCCGGCCAAAACACGGATCCGCGCGGACCTCCGAAAGCCCAAGCGTATGCAGTTGTTTGTTCTTCCGCCGTCTGCATGCTGACCGTCAAGGAGTTCCTCGCAGAGGGCGGCATCGACCACGGTGGCCTGGTCGACCGCGCCAACATCGACCGCCTCGTGGGGCAGCTGTCGGACAGCGGCTTCGTCATGAGCGAGCAGGAAGTAGAGAGGCTGGCCGAGGTTCGAAGAGGAATATTACTAACAATCACATTCACGTATACACATATATATATATATATATATATATATATATATAGATAATAAATCAATACATGAATGAATAAACAAACAACTTTCGGCGCTCCGAGCGGATTTCGTTGATCTGCGCTGGGCGCCCCCTTGGCGGCGCCTCCAGCGCCGCCCCTGGCGCGCTCCGTACTCCAGGGAGGGGTGCCAGCGCCGATCCAGGAAATTTACGCGGACTTCGGAAAGTGTATGTTTTAAGTGAATTGGCACAGTCAGGATCCAGTATGTTACAATGCTATCCTTGCATCCTTGCCTTTTCGACTCTCCGTGAGCCTTTCAGACGTCCGAAGGCGTCCAGATTGGACGTTTAAGGGCCTTGAACCTTATCTTGCACCCTGACAATCGATTTTGTCTGTACGGTAGGTTCGCGTCGTGTCATCTGGCGGCGGCTCTTCCGCAGATGACAACGTTGAACGCCGTCTGCGACCCAGAGTCGGTCGATGTTGGATGATCAGACGTTTCGGAAACGGCCGACCGTTCAAGGTGGAACGATCCCCTCGGTGTCAGGAACCAAAGCTGGGCTTGACACGACACGAACCGATGGTATGCGATTTTGTTTTTCTTCTATCCGGAGGGGGAAAACACACAGACATAATGAATCGTCGACTCCCATGAAAATATGGGAAACTATGGGAAGTGGGGGGGGAAGACAAAAACCCAGATAATATAGGAAAATATGGGGGATCCTGTTATTTGTGTGTACTTATTTGTGTGTGCCCTTGGGCCCCTTCCCTCTGGAGGTGTTCTGCCTCGCCCCCGGAGCCCAGCGGGGCAGTGCCGCCTCCAGCCTCCGGGCCTTCGCGGTCTGGATCCGCGGGGAGGAGGGGCTCGCCTCGCGGCTGCGGGAGCACCTGCTCGGCGCCGTGCCGGCGGACTACCGGTGGCACGCCCCGGGCGAGGACTTCCTGGAGCTCGGTGCGATCGAATTTCATGGGCGTGTCTTCCACCAACACCACCACCAAAAGTTGGAGGGGGGGATCCTCCTCCTCCTCCTCCTCCTCCTCCTCCTCCTCCTCCTCCTCTTCGTCCTCCTCCTCCTCCTCCTCCTCCTCCTCTTCGTCCTCCTCCTCCTCCTCCTCCTTCTCCCCTCCAACTTCTGGTGGTGGTGGTGGAAAACAGGCTCCTCAGGGTACGGAAAGAGCGGGTACGGTGCGGAAAGAGTGGGTGCGGAGACTGGCAGCATGTCCTGCTTTTTTTGAGAGAACAGGGCTCGCTGCTGGTGTGCCGCCGCGGGCGTGTGGCCGGTGTGAGGCGGGAGGCCGCCTGCCCAGCAGCAGCCGCTGTCGGTTTGGGGCCGCACGTGTTTCTGGTCGTCGTGCCCGCGTTCTGCGCACCCGTGGCGAGCGTCCAGAGGAGCGCCTGTCGCGGGTCATCTCGCACATCGAGACGAGGGCGTCGCAGATGATCGAGGGGGAGCTGCCTCCTGAGAAGAAGGCCCGCTTCTTCGTCGACGTGATCTCCAATCCGTGGGACAGGGACGGCGTCTGCATAGACGCCGCACTGTGCACCAGCCTGCAGCAGGGCCTGCTGTCTGCCGACCGGTACAAGCTGGTCAGCAAGACCCAGGTCGACGGCGGGTTCCAGCGGATAAACCAGAACTGGGTGTCCTCGGAGAAGTACGACGACATGGTGGGCAAGGTGAAGGAGCTACATCATCTGCCGCCTCCACCGACTGTGCTCGACAAGCTGCTGGATGGTTACTTCGCCTGTGTGCAGAAGATGATGGCCGACGAACGCATGGACCCCATCGTGTGCGCCACCATCGCAAAGGTCGCCTTTAATACAATCCACCCCATGGTGGATGGCAATGGCCGGGTGCAGCGCATGATATTCCAGCTGGTCCTCTTCAAGTATGGCTTCCTGCCGCGGCTCAACGTCCCCGTGTCCGTGATCATGCTCCAGGACCGCACGGCCTACGAGGTGATGCAGGGCAGGCACGTGGAGCAGGTAATGGCCGGGGTGGTGTACGAGGAGACCGAGACAGACGTGGAGGAGGGAGGCGACGGTTTCCGGCATGTCGACGAAGGAGACGGCATCATGGCTCTCTACCAGTACCAGGACTTTACGTTTGCGGTGAGCTCAATGATGAAGCTGATGCAGAACACCCTGCCCGTCATCGCGGCCAAGGCCTACTTCCTCCAGCGCTTCGACTGGCGAGTGGACGAGCTGCTCAAGGGAGACGCGTTGATGCCTCCTCGCGCCGCCACAAGGATCGCTAAGGTCTTCAAGAACGACGGTGGCAGTGGTGGAATCAGCGTCAGGAAACTGGTCAAGCTGCTCTTGCTCGATGGGTGGCGTATCGGCTTCCGGCGAATCTTCCGCTTCCTGGCGATGGCCAGCCGCGCAGAAGATAAGGTCAGCCTCAAGAGCATCGGGCAGCGCCTGAGTGACTCCTGGCGCCGATCGCGGCGGCGATTGTGGATCATGTCTTCCGGACAGGTCATGGGATCTTCTTCGACTGGGAGGGTCAGATGGGTCGGCGTCTCGCTGGACAAGTTTGCTGCCTGCGAGCTGGCGCTGAGGAGGGCCTTGAAGGTATCCAACGTGGGCGACACAGTGGTAGCGGTGCACTACCCCAAGGACATGAGCGACTTTAGCGCGGACCTGTTCCCAGAGCTGGCGAACGACATCAACAGCGAAGTGAAGGCGGTCAGGGCGCAGCTGATGGCCAAGGTCCAGGGAGTGGTGGACGCGCACATGCCCGAGGGTGTGCTATTCAGAGCCTTTATCGGCCCACCCTCGGCCTACAGGCCCGCGTATTCTCTGTGCGAGGACGCCAAGGTGGCCGAGGTGAAGCCTTACAGAATATATACGGGCTACGACCAGTTCGAACACCATAGGACGTTCACAGACTACGTCGTGCGACACGCGCCCTGCGACGTGACGCTTGTCAAGGGCGACTTCTCGGCCGTCGGCACAACCGTCAGGTGGGTGGGCATCTCCGCCCGGAACTTTGACATCTCCGGCTCCGCCCTCATCAAGGCGTTTGCGCACTCCAAGCCGGGCGACTCCGTGATCGCCATGCACTATCCAGTGAACCCATTTGTGGAGGGGATGTCCTCGGTCTTCGAAGCTCACATGTCCTCCATGGGCGAGGCCGAAATGATGAACGTCCTCATGGACAACGAGAAGTGCCGCGCGGCCGAGCGGGCGGAGCGCATCGCCAACCAGTGGTGCAAGGACGGTGTTCGGTTCGAGATGTACGTAGGCGAGCTCACCTCCGAGCCGCATGTGCAGATCGTGCGCGATGCGGAGACGGGCGTTGGAGAGCAGCCGCAGCCTCCTCACACCATCTACATCGGCTACACAGGTCGAACTGACCGCGACAGGCTCGTGGACCCGAGCAAGATGTACGACGTGGCGGAGTACATCGTCCGCCGTGCCCCCTGCAACGTCGTGATCGTGAAGGAGTCGCAGCAGGCGATGAGGTCCCGCATCCACGGCCGCAGGCACCTGCCTGTCGTCTCGGCAGATGGCCCCTGAGTGCCGTGGCCCGCCAGATCGTGACCGAGGAGAGACCTGCTGCTCGCCGCTGGCGGAGCCCAGGGCCCGCGAAGGGCGGCCTGAGTGATCCGCCCCGAGAGCGGCTCGACGGGGTCTCCGGCTCGACGGAGCAGCAGCAGGCGGACGACGAGTGAGGACAGCCGGCGGTCGCTGGACCTCCCTATCTCGGTGGTTCAGGGATGGGGCCCTGAAGGGTGGGGCCCCAAGGACGAGAGGCTTCAAGCAGCGGAACGTTGAGCTTGGATACCTTTCGTACCCTCGGAGTCCCATCCTTCAGGGTACTATCTTTCAACCGCCGACTGTCGCCTCAGGGATCGTGACAGGACCTGGTCGTGCCCGTGTAGGCAGCGCATGCTTGCGGGACGGGCGAGGTGGTGGGCCCTCTCGATAGTTTCAAGGACCGTCTCACGGTCCACTCTGGAATGTGGGACCGCGTCAGCTGACCTGTTTCCGGTGGGCGCAGAACCCAGACATTTTAATAACGACGTTCAGGCTTTCCTGGATGCCGTGATGAAAAGCACCGCAATCACCGCCATCATCATCGATTTAGCATCACCGTCCTCCTCACCACTAGCATCGCCAACAGCATATACATCATCACCATCATCATCAGCAGCATCATCACCATCATCATCACCATCATCATCGTCAACAACAGCATTATCATCATGCTTCTCATCATCCCCATCACCATCACCACCATCATCAGCATCATCATCACCATCATCGCACTCACCATCATCAACATCACGATCACCATCGTCATCACCATCCTCATCATCACCATCATCACTATAATAGCAAAAATCAGCATAATCGGCATTCTCGGCATTACCATCATCATCACCATCATCGCCATGAACATCATCGTCATGGGCATCATCACGATCACCATCATCATATTCATTATCATCATCGTCATCATCATGATTATTTTACTCATCAGTATCATCATCATCATTCTCATCCTTGTCGTCAGCATCATCATTAATGCCAGCATCACCACTAGCATCATCACAGTCACCAGTATAGTCGGTTGTAATTTCGCCATGATTTCATCAGCACCAAACAGCACATCCATCACCATTTATGGACCGCGTAACTGCAGTGGCTTCTCGTATGAAGCTTTGCTGGCACTGCTCTGACAACTAAACGTGGTCTAGAGTCAGCAAGAGCGAAGACGGTGGCTCTCGCCATGCGGAGCTGCACTAGGCACAAAGTTGCCACCGCCCACTTCTAACAGGGGAGACGGGAGGCAGGGATGGCTCGGGAGGCGGCAGCAGAGGCGGCAAGATCGTCGGCTAACTGGTTGCCAAACCAAGCCAGGCGGTGGAGGAGGGGAGGGAGGAGTGGGAGAAACGTGCACAGCAGTATCATTGGAAAGTGTGACGGATGGCAGCGCGTAGTATATAGCATTGTGCACCATAGGACATGAGAAGACAACGCACAACATACTATAACACGTGCCATGATGCCGTAGCGTAGCACACCATGTGTCGAGAGTACATGCCAAACGAGAAGTTTTCTCAAACTCCTCGCAAGATTCCTGGGTCCCTCAAGGCGTCTTCTGGCTGTTCCTGGCGCCTCGGCCTCTGGAATCAATCTAGGAGCCATGTAAGTTCGGATGCAAGTCACGGGAGGTTAGACTCAGCATCGGCACTGGTGTATCCGTGGTCGAAACCAGCCCAGCCCAAGCCTTCAGGCTTCGGCTCAATTGGTCCCCGGCTCAATCCGGCCTGCGGTGTCTCAGCCGGGCACGTTCGCCCTTACCCACTTGTACTTACGAGCGCCTCCCAGACGTTGCCTCCTAACATGAGCAAGGCAAGCGAGGAATGCAAAGCGTCGGGAAGCAAACCGTGTAGATGTTGGCACAGGTTGTGCTTCTTGGGGTCGCCTCGCGGTAGAGTCTCCGACCCTTGTGGTCTCATCGTGGCCCTCTTGGGGCTTCTCGGGGCCATCCCGTCGCCAACTTTGGCGGCAGTGGGCGCATCTCATCAAATGCGACATCGGCTCGCCAGCAGGTGCCCCACTGAAGTTCTGATCCCGCGGTGGCCTCGGGGACCCGCAGAAGCCCTGAGACACCTCGGGAAGCTCAAGCTTCGACGACAAACGCGCCGCCACATGCCTCAGGACAAGGTTGATCATCGTGTGCTCCTCCTGTGTAGTGGGCCCTCCCTGTGCCCTCTCGGGGCCGTTTTGGGCGATCCTGGAAGCCATCTTGGCGCTATCGGAGGCCATCGGCGGCCCACCGCACAGCTCGAACTTCTGACGCGCAGTACGTGCCGTAGGCACGGTGGCGGGCCTGCTTGCACAAGCACCCTCTATGGGAGGCGAAGGTTCCGTCTGGCACGACTGGGCCTCCTGGTTGTCTCGATTGCATACCGCAGTTCGGCTGGTGGGTTGAGCTGCTATTGCAATTTGCCAGCCTGTTCCAAGCACTGAGTGGGCCGACTGTCACGCATCCGCACGTCCCAGGGGAAGCGGGGCATGGCTCCGCATGCTCTGAGTGAGCGCCACAGTCGTGCGAAGTGCTGTTCTGATGGGGGGGAAAGGGGGGAGGGGACGGGGGGAGGGGGCGGGGCAAGCTAGGTGCGCTCGCGTCATATCTGACATCCTACCCCTCCCTCCCATCCCTTACCATGGCGCAGATCCCCTCTCTACTCGCTCAGTCGGATGTCGAGCAGGGCAATGATCCCGAAAGGGTACGCGATGCCTTGTCGAGCACGGCAAGGCATGGCGTAGAAGAGCACCGCAAAGCGGGGGGGGAGGAGGGAGGACGCCCCCCCGCAGGCGCGAAGACGCTCCCTCCTTGCGCTTCACGGCCGGGGCCAGAGGGCTGCCCCTGCTCGGGGGTGGTCTCGAAAGGGCGCAGGGAGGAAGGTGCGTCGCGCCTCGCGCGGCGCGACGCGCGAAGTTGGGCGACTCGGGGATCAAGACAGGGAGAACGAGGGGGGAGGACAAGGAGTGAGGAGGGAGGAGGGGGGACGCGGGGAAAGGACGAGGAGGGGGGAGGACGAGGAGGCCAAGGGGGAAGGACAAGCTATGCGCGTTCGCGCCATGTATAATATCGTATTCCTCCCTCCCACCCCTTCCCATTTCGCTGATTGTTTCTCTATTGGCGGGCGTGTGCCATTGCCGGCCTGGGACTCGCAACCAGACTAAATCGTGTTATGCGGAGTCAAGAGAAACGGGAGCTGCGTGCATAGGAGGAGGAGGAAGACGAGGAGGAGGTGGAGCAGGAGGGGGAGGAGGTGGAGGATGAGCAGGAGGAGGAGGCGGAGGAGGAGAAGGAGGAGGAGGAGGAGGAGGAGATGGCGGGTGAGCATGCGGATGAGCAGGATGAAACAGAGAGGATGGGGAAAGAGGTGGAGAAGGAGGCGGAGGAGGAGTCGGAGTCGGAGTCGGAGTCGCAGCCGGAGTCGGAGGAGGAGGAGGAGGAGGACGACGAGGACGAACAGCAGCTGCATGAACTGGAGGAGTGGAAGGAGCGGGAGGAACAGGAGTACGAGGGGAATGCGGGTGAGGGAAGAGGAGGGGGGTGGCGACGATGAGGAATGACTCGGATCCCAAAAAAGCGGCCCTTGCTGGGGCGAGACCGCCAGTCTGAACGACGGGGGCAAAACGCCGATCCGAACATGAGGCCCACGCTGCAGCGGGAACACCATTTTGAACAACAGCAGTGTTTGACTAGTTGTGTGCTTGGGAAGCACGACGCGGAGAGGGTGAAACATCTTCTGGACACAGCCAGGGAGATATGAGAGTCGTGTTCGGCAGCTGTAATGGTGGAAGAAGGCGAAGGGGCAGGACAAGAGAGATGGCGGGTGAGGATGAGGATGCGGATGAGGATGATGATGATGATGATGATGATAATGACGAGGAGGAGGATGGTAAGGATGATCGTGATGATGCTGCTGATGATGATGCTGCTGATCCTGCTGATGATGATGGTAATGGCACTGAGGATGCTGATGATGATGATGATGATGGTGGTGATGATGATGCTGATGATGTTGACGAGGATGCTGGTGAAGACGATGATGCTTCTGCTGCTGCTGATGTTGATGCTGCTGATGGTGACGATGATGCTGCGGCTACTGATGATGACGATGATGCGGAGGAAGGTGACGATGCTGTTGCTGCTGCTGCTGATGATGCTGCTGACGATGATGATGGTGATGATACCGATGTTACTAATACTGTTTGGAATGAGGTTGATGCTGATAATGCTTTCGATGACGACTATGCTGATGATGATGCTGCTGATGATGATGCTGATAACGATGATGGTATTGATGGGGATAGTTTTGTTGATGGTGATAGTGGTGGTGGTGGTGGTGACGATAGTTATGATGATCATGATGATGCTGCTGACCATGCTGTTGAGGATGATGATGATGATGCTGATGATGAGGATGCTGATTTTGATGCTGATGCTGATGCTGGTGATTATGGTGCTGATGCTAAATGTGGTGGTAGTGGTGGTGGATTCGGAGGAGGAGGATGGAGGGGTGAGGAGAGATGCTGATTCTGATGCTGATGATGATGACGCTGATGATGATGGTGATGATGCTGATGATGATCATGATATTGACGGTGGTAATGGCGATGCCGATGCTGATGCTGATGCTGATTCGGCGATACTGATACTACTGATGCTGAGTATGATGATGATGCTGCTGATGATGATGATGCTGCTGCTGATGCTGGTGATGATGGCGATGATGATGACGATGATGATGATTATGCTGGTGATGCGGATGCTGGTGCTGTTGATGCCGATGATGGATAGTATGAGGATGATGGTGCTGACAATGATACTAATTCTGCTGATGCTGATGATGCTGCTGATGGGGGTGCTGATGATGGTGATAGTGATACTGATGGTGATGGTGATTGTGCTGGTGTTGATGAGGGATGGTGATGATGAGGGTGCGGATGATGATGATGATGATGATGATGATGATGATGATGATGATGATGATGATGATGGTGATGGTGATGATGATGCTGCTGATGATGATGATGATGACGATGCTGATGCTGATGATGCTGATGATGAAGATGATGAACAGGAAGGCGATGCTGATGATGCTGATGATCATGATGCTGATGGACATGATGATGGTGACGATGCTAATGACGATGATGATGCTGATGATGTCGACGATGATGATGCTGATTATGCTGATGCTGATGCTGATGATGATGATGATGCTGATGATGATGATGATGTCGATGCTGATGATACTGATGACGATGTTGATGCTGATGATGGCGAGTATTATGATGATGACGTTGATTATGATGATGATGATGCTGCTGATACTGATGGTGCTGCTGATGCTTATGATGATGCTGCTGATGATGATGATGCTGATGCTGAAGCTGATGATGATAATTATGATGATGATGATGATGGTGATGCTGCTGCTGCTGCTGATGATGATGATGATGATGATGATGATGATGATGATGATGATGATGATGCTGCTGCGGCTGCTGCTGCTGCTGATGATGACT